GCCGCCGCGCGCAACATGGCGCTCGTGCCGTGCCAGGTGCTGCGCGCCGCCATCCTGCTCTCCTACTGCTCCATCCTGTGCAATTACAAGGCCATTGACATGCCCGCGCATCAGACCTATGGAGGCAGCTGGAAATTCCTGACCTTCATAGACCTGGTAAGTGCCCCCCCGCGCCAGGGCGCCGGGGGGCGGGCCCGGCCCTCGCGCCCCCCCGGCGCTCGACGGCAGCGCCGCGAGGGGAGCGGCGGGCGGGACGGCGACATGTCGTGACCCGCGCGCCGCGCGGAGGGACGGGCAAGGACACGGACAAGGACACGGACACGCACACGGGGAGGCAGCCGCACGGAGCCGGCCGGGCGCGGCGGCGGGGAAGGGCGGCCGCCATCCCGGCCCGGCTGCCGCCCGGCTCCAGCGGCGCCCGTTGATGGGCGGCGGGAAGCGGCGGGGCCTGGGCCCCCGCCTCGTGCTCGAGCAGGGAGCGTGTCCCGCTGCCCCCGCCGCGGGAGCCCTTCCCGGCGGGCGCTGGCGCCGGGGCGGCTCGAGGCCTGCGCGCTGGTGCGGGCGGCCCTGGCGCCCGGCTCCCCCAGCAGCGCCTGGCAGTGCAGGTGCTTCGCGTTGCCTTGCGCTGCCCTTGGGAAGGGGCCACGCCAGGAGCCCTCCTGGTGTGTGTAGGGCCGTCGGGAAGCGCCAGTGCCCGGCACTGCTGCCCTCGGCCCAGGCCCGCGGCCTTGCGCCCGGAGCAGCATCGCCTCGCCGTGCGCGGGTGGGATGGCGCCTTCTGCCGCGCACCCAGGCCGGAGCCGGGCTTGGCTTGTTTCTGTTTGTTTATTTATTGGTTTTTATGAATCCACATTGCAGTTGGGCAACACATTTCATAGTTCCTGCTCAGTTACAGAAAAGCCATAAACAGAAGTCCCTGTCCCGCAGTTTCCTGGCAATAACGCCTTTCCCAGCACCCCGGCCCGGTTTCACACGTGCGGCTCAATGAGCGGCCGGCGTGCCCCGAACCCACTCAGCAAGAGATGTTTGTGAACGGAAACCAAGCTCAAGCGCTTGGCCTAGTAGGGGAGGGGTGCAAATTTCTTTTTTTTTTTTTAATAAGGATTTTTTTTCTCCTTTTTTATTTAACTAAGTTTCTGCTGAGTGTTGGATACTGTCTGGASCTCTGATGATCCTAAGCCATAATGTGTGCTTTCACTGCCATTGCCAAAGAGTGGCTTCAAGTTTTGCCTCTTTCTGGCCTGCAGTCTAATGAGTAAGAGTGAGTTTTGTTTTTTGTTTTTTTTTTTTTTCATTTTTGGAGGTGGGGCTGCTGAGCAGCATGCTGTTGATCCTGATTGATACGAGTTAGAGTCAAATCCCATTAAATTAAGGCTGAGCTGTTGACTTTGGTGCCATTTGGATTGGATGTGAGCCAAGTAAAGCCAAAAGCCAACAGCCTTGTTTCAACTTTTTCTCTGTTTTTATAGTCCTGATAGTCCCTGGAGTGTTAAGTGAGCTGCTGTTTGTCATGTGTTGAAAGTGATATTTGACAGTACATTATATTATTTCCTCAGAAGACATTACAGCCTGCTGCCTATGACAAGTTCTCGTGGATTTTCCCACCAAAGCATGCACATGGTTTAGGCTGCTTCTCACATGGTCCAGAGGGCCAAGTAAATGTGWCATGTTTGCTAAAACAAAGACTAGAGCAGTTATCAACTGCAGTTAGTCACGTCTGTCCTTTAGCTCACAGATGTCCTGTGTGACTCATAGTCAAACCGGAGAGTTGACAGAAGGTTACTAGTTCCTCGTAGCCTTGATTCCTTCCTAATAATGGACACAACTACTTGAATRCCTTTCCTGCTGCCTACCAGGAAACTGCTCTCCACTTGTTAACAATATTTARTTATGTCCACATACCGCTGGTAACATCTTACCTAAGCAGATCTCTCTTTATGTCCGCTGGGCAACTGAGTGACTTCAAGAAACAAAATTCTTCTAGATTCCTGAGGAGGACTCCAGGACGAATGGTGGAAGATGTTAGGCAAGCTTCCAAATCCTGTATGCTAACTATGTTTTAAAAAGCTCGTCCATAAGTTCCGTTTTCCTCAGCCATGTGCCGTGTTCTTGTGTCAGTCAGATTCAAAGGCTGTCTAGACAAAATATCCGCAATGCCAACGTCTTGGCAGACATGTTTCTGCTACAGATTGTACCTCCACAAGCAGAGATTTCATCTTTGACATCACAGAAGCACATCGAAGTGATTACAGGTTCCAGAAAATGCTASCAGTTTTTGTGAAAGTGAGTTTATGAATTGAATGTAAAACTAATTTGGATTTTTTTTTCCGTGTATCCAGTTGAAATGGGACATTTCATGCGCAGCATCAGTAAATGCCTCAGAGATTTAGATAGATGGTTTTGCAGAAGTGCTATTTCGTTATTTGCATGAAGCATAATTTTGAATCAAATTATGAAAAACTAGTCTAAATTCATGAAAAGTAAAAACTTAACAACTCCTTTAAAGTAAAACACAAGACATAGCAAAATGTTCTAAAACTGTGTTAATRTGAAGAGTAGATTTATAGGTCTTAGACTGTTTATAGCATTTGAGTGTTAAAAGGAATTTGTTCCGTACAAAGCTAAAGACTATAATAATCTGTGTAGTACAGTATGGCAGTGCTATATTGTTTGGAAAGAGGACAAATACTTCCTTTTTATCTTTTAGAGAATGCTGTGGCTCGCTGCTTCTCAAAGCTTGTATTTATCTGCTTTTCTTGTCCGTCCATGGCATTTYAACTGTTCATACAATAACATATTATATGTTCATACCTAAGTAAAATTTACTTAGCTGTCGATATTCAAGCTTTATGCCTCCTGTCTTTGGAGCAAAGAGGAGAATAAGCATTATTGATCACTAGTAACTGATGTTATGAACTAACTCATTTTCTTTGCAGTTACTAATGTGGTAGCCACTATCTCTAGAATACCCATGTCAATAGAGGCGTCTTTTTTTATTTATGAAGAGATATTCTGAAATGAAGGCTGTACTGGAAATGTATTTTGTCAGTACATCGGTGATATTGTTGCTAACTTAACATTTCTCCACTTCCAAATTCATTAGAAACAGTAGTAGTCTTGACTTCATTTTATAGAGTAGTAAACTGGGGTGCAAACTGGTGACCAGTTGCTTCCAAGATCTGCCAATAGACCAGGCAGATCAAAATATTGAACTGAATATTCAGGATGCTTCGTAATGACAACACAATGTGTGTTTTTTTTTTGTTGTTTAGTTTTTCATCAACTTCAGAGCACAAAGCAAGTTTCAAAGTTAGTTTCTTTTGAAAAGTCAAAGAATCATCTTCAGGCTGTTTCAGGAGGGAAATCTGTGTATAGCTGCCGTTGTTAGCCTCAGATTCACCATTTACAGGTTTTGGTGCTTCCATCCTGAACTGCAGCACTAATCGCAGAGTCACAGAACGGCTGAGGTTGGAAGGGACCTCTAGAGATCATCCAGTCCAGCCCCCTGCTMCAGCAGGGACACCCGGAGCACGGGGCACAGGGCGGCATCCAGGYGGGTTTGGAAGATCTCCAGAGGAGGAGACTCCACAGCCTCCCTGGGCAGCCTGTGCCAGGGCTCTGTCAYTCTCATAGTGAAGAAGTTCWTCCTCACATGGAGATGGAATTGCCTGGGTTTCAACTTGTTCAGGGCAGAAAAAGCTAGAGAGGCATTAGTTTTGCTTATATACAAACTTGTCAGGTCTCATACTTCTATTATTATTTAAAAAAGTAAAGTGTCTGTTCGCCTGTGGTTACTTTCATARAGGGCCTGGCCAACTGGGTTTTGTGAAAAAGCAAATATCAGTTCTGTGACTAGCTAAATTATATGAGGTACATTTTCTAGATAAGAAAAAATGCTGCAGCTTAAAGTGGGAGTAAAAATTACAGATGGAATATGTCCAGGTTCAGTTTAATCTTGATGGAAAATAAGATGACCAGAAAATGTTAGAGGCCAGAAGATACAGAAGTGAAAAATAAGTTGTTTTGTTTTCTTAAGTAAAGGTCAGTAAGGCACCTTGATTGCAAACAGCCAGTGTAGTTATTRTGTGATACAAAATAACATAACCTTCGTGTTAGCAATAGATTTATTGGTTGCCTTATAAAATCACAATGTCTTGGTATTAATATCGTGTTGTTACATTACATCAATTGTCCTGCCACTGATATTAGTTAGAGCAATAAAAGATGGATTTTGCTCTTTACCTCTTCAAGGTAAGTTTGAATTTTRAAACTAACATTGATTTTCTTGGTCAATCATTATCCAAATAACCAAATACTTCTTAAATTAATTCTTTTTCATATATAAATACTTAGTATCTAGTTTGTGTGGTGTTGTCTTTCWTTGGAGATTACCTTTCATTTGTGACTGGTGTCTATAAACTCTTAATTTCTATCACATGAGGTTCCGGAACTTGCACCGTTCCTAGCTGGGGTCTGGAGATCAGCAGGTAGTTTCTGTCCTTCTGAACTGTGCCACCGACTTGGCGTCAGGAATTGAACATGTTTCACTGCAAAAGGTTAAGCTTACCATAACCATAAGGGGACACAAATGAAAAAGGACTCCGCAGTCTGCAGAATATAATTACATGATACTTTTCCCAGTTTTCTATTGCTGAAATTAATTTCACTTTCTGCTTTCCTGTTTCATCATCTGTAAATTTACCGTCGTAGTCACAGGGTAACTGTGAGTGCCTTTATCAAGTATTTTATTGCTTTTGTACAAAAAGGTTACAGAAGTGTAAAATACTATTATTTATTACTCCCAGAGGTAATTCATCACCATTTCTAAATATCTCAGTGTTCCCTACAGTAATAGGGAATGCAATCACCAGTGTTTATCAGTCTACAGAGACTGAGACTAAGAGATTGCTTTTTGAAGAGCAACAAGGTGAGGTTTCCTAATTGTGCTTAATGCGTTTGAGCGAAAGGCAATGATATATGTAAGAGAGGCTTTTAATAAGTATATGTTTCAGAGTTTCCTTTTTCCTTCTCAGGCTGTAAATATGTCAGAGAAATAGTTATGTATTGTGCTGTCATTGCACTAATAAAAATGTAATAGTATCGCCATTTCTTATTCATAGACCGTGCTTTCCACTCGCTTTTTGAAATGCTGTTAC